TCTTCGGAAACATTGGGCGCATTCAGTAGAAAAAGCGCTCAGTGAGCAATCAACGATTATTGGTTCTTGCTATTAGATCCCTAAATCTAGACCAATTACATTGAGTGCGTTCAGAAGACACAACTGTTGCACAACAGTTGAGTAATTACTCAACGTAATTGGTCTAAAGTTAGGGATCTAACAGTAAGGACCAATAATTACTGACCGCTCACTGATCAGCTATGTTTTCTGAACGTAGCCATTGACAAATTACTCAACTGTTGTGCAACTGTTGAGTCTGCCGAATGCAGCCATTCAGTTATTTCCTAGATTTCTATTGTCTCTTTTAGGGGAGACGGAATATTCCGATCGGAATTGATTTCGAAGAAGTCTACAATAGATATTCAGGTAGTATATATTTTAGTGGGAAAAATACAGGAGGAAGCTCGTTGGGTTCTTCACAATCAGAAAAAAAGTTTGACATATTGGGAGTAATACTAACACGTAATTTTACGTAATTTTTTGCGATACACGTTTCTTGTATTTTGCCTTCTTGTTTTGTAGAGGATACAGACTTGCAAAACTAGAACATTGTATGTTAATTAGTAATAATCTTTAATGTATGTGCATAATATTTAATATCTTACAAAGTCTCATCACAAGTATAGTTTACTACCTAAGCATATGTATTTAAAGTATCGAGCAGATGTAATTGTACGCGCTTTCGACGATATATCAACATTAATAATTTACATGCTTCTCTCATATGCAGAAACTTATCAGACAGAATGGTGATATTTCATATACGCTATAGCTGCGAGATCTTTGCAAAATTCCTCTGTCACAATGGCACTCTCGTATAAAATGTCCTCCTTTTCCCTGAAACGCAAATATTGCAAAAGTTACATACATAAAAGATCACTTTGCAAATGTATAAAATTAAATTTATGGGCAATTCGCGTTCGACTTACGACGGATGTTACGAGGCAGATGTTATGAGGGAAAAAACACTATATAAAAACTTTAACGTAAAAATAAAAAGAAAAATTACTCGCAATATGGATTCTTTTGTTGTAATATCAGTCTCCCCTTTACTTCCTGGTATGAGTTTTATCTCATCTTTTCCTATTCTTAATCGTTTTTACATGGGTTTGCAAAATATCAAGAATGATATCCTCTAAATCCCACTCACTCCTCCTGCGAACAGTCACTCAGCAATCTCTTCCTCGTTTCTTTCAATCTTGCCTTGCTTTCCTGAGTTTTCGGTATTTCGCCGACGAGCTGCTTGACGACCCTCTGTAGGCATAGGAACAGACTCTTCGTGCCGGGTATCAGCGGTAGTAAGGGATTCAGCAGGAACTCGTGCAAATATGGATGCGGCAGTAGCGCTAGCCTAGAAATAGCGATGGACTCAAGATATACATTGACCTCTGATATATGTACAACGAAAGTCTCAAGTCGTTTGACGTGTTGTTGTTTTTAGATGCTTGGGATATTAAAGATTTCTTGAGACTTTGGAGAATTGACTCTTGGTTTAGAACGCTATCGCTTGAGAGAAATTGGAGAAATGCTCGTCACTACCTGGAGAGCAATCCCGTAACCTCCAAGTTGACCTCATACGTCTGTCTGGGCATGTTGCTGACTTTGTCAAAAAGCATGCTGAGAAACGGTCCCATGTAGAAACGATCCGCGGTAACCGAGCAGTGGTCGGCTTCCGGTCGAGAATCGGAACTGGCGGTGTCGTCGACCATCACTGCTTCCAGCGGCCATGCCATTAGAGCGCAATCGGAGAGCACCGATGAGTACTGTCGCTCCCACGCCGACATGTACTTTTCGTAGTTGTTTGCGTTTGAGTCCGTTTGCAGGTATCGCGGCATCAATGATAGAAAACTGAAACGCGTGAGTATTGTAGTCTATGTATATAACTGAGTTTGCTACTCAGCTACCTGGCTGCCGCTCTTACCAATTGACAACCCGATGGATATTACTCGGTGCTAGAGTACGACTGTGATTCTGTTCGTAAGAGAGATCCAATGAGCCCTTCTTCTCCTTTTCCCTTTCGTCCTCCTCATCGCTCCACGAGGCGATAGCGCTGTCGGCAGCGGTGTTATCGTAATATACTCGCGTAGAAAGGTAAATCAGCACCAGACAGTGCAATATATGCTCGTTTCTCTTGTCTATCGCTTCTTCGAACAACTTGAGCGTCTCTATCGTGAGGTCGTTGCTGTCCGTAAAGCAGTTCTCTATGAGTCGATGCAACACCGGCGATGTCCACACGTTCGATATCGCCGGCTCTCTGTCTTGTCCAACCAGCCAGTAACTCATCTCTGAGAATACATGATGATTGTAGGAAAATGGCTCGAAATTCAGGAATACGAAAGAATTGCTTTTTGAAAAGAGAAATTAGTTGGATTAATGGCACCTGTGCACAATACGACGGAGGTGATCTCCTTTAAGCACTTGGCGACAAGCGCGGTGATAAGTACGACATGATGATTGGCGAGCGCGGGCGTCACTATTCCGTCGAGGAACATTAGCCTGATGTTTCTCGCCAACGTTTCCGCGACTTCCGTTCGAGCCTCCCTGATCAACTGGTCGCAGTAGTCGAACCACATGAAGAACGCCGCGACCTGCCGGCAACCAGAAAATTTGCTTTCTTTGGTCCATAACGGTGAATCCAGACCCCACGTCACATCCACGCAGTAGATCTCCAGGTGGTCCACGTGTGCTGGTATCGCGTTGAACAGAGTCTCCAATCGACGCGGCACTATCAACGACAACTCGCTCTTGGCCATGGTATGCGCAAACGCGGGATCGTCCAGGGAAGCTAAAGCCATGATTCCCTCGCATGCTCGTATCCTCACGGTGTTGTCCTGAAAACGAGCGACGATGATCAGACGATTTTGTGTATAATAGAATTTATACAACATGTACAACTGACGGTACGATAGAGAAAAAGAGAGAGAGAGAGAGAGAGAGAGAGAGAGAGAGAGAGAGAGGGTGAGAAAGAGGGGAGAGAGAGAGAGAAAGAGAGAGAGACTAGTTTACCGCGCTGTTTAAATAGCTCATCAGGGCATCCAATAGAAGACATTTGGATTTTTCTGGTACTTGCGGTGACTTGAAGCTCAGATTATTATCCGTTGTATAACTCGCGTCGTCGTAAACGTTACCGTCAACGTTATCCAAGCGCAAGTCCCTCAAATTTTGCAAGTGTTGGTCGATTTCGTTTCCCAAAATATCTTCTTCGTCGTCCCCGCACCGTTCTTTGTTCTTCGTAACTATGGATGGTGAGTCGCAGACCGATTTTTGAGCTAAAGGACTCGACGACACGCTCTCCTCTCTCGAGGATACAGAGTCGTTTGATCTTCTGGACGAGCCGTGCGATAGCAAGGAGGCGGCGGTGCGATGCGATCTCCTCTGATCGAACAGACTCGGGCTCACCAGTGTAATCGCTTGAGTGTCCAAAGGTTCGAACAAGGGATTGAACTTGTTTCTTCTTCTCGTTGGCACGTACGTCACCTTTTGAATCTCTGTTCGCTCGCAGTCTCTCTTTGCCGGATTGCCAACCGTCTGTGTGTTTGGAACATCATTGATGATGTTGCTGACGTGCGGGTACTTGCATACCAGAAAGCAAATAGTCAGCAGAAATTGTACCTAAGGAGCAAAGTACTTTTATTTTTTCTTTCTTAATTGTTCAGCATCTCGCATTAATTTAGTACAATACGAAAATAGTCGGTGGAAAAGAGATCAAAACAAATAAGCAGATGGATAGATTTATTCAACCTTGTGATACAAGTCCCTTGAGGCATACAATAGTAAATACAACAGTTAATAAATATGACATCGTAGTGAGAAAAAACACAAAAATGAGAATGGGTGTACATTGCATAAGCAGTAGTATATATTATGGTGGTAAAAGCACGAGCAGAAGTTATGCAACTTCAAGGTAAGTGTATAATGCAAAATCAAAATGTATGACGTAGGTAATATAATACATATATATAGTGCCAAGACAAAATAATAAAAACAGAGCACACAGGTACAAACAGAAAAAAACACATGTAAATACTAAACTAAAATTAGAGAGGAAACAAAGAAAGATCAATTCTACTGTTGAAGATACCTCTTCAGCTTCAATCGGCGATGGGGGATTGCCATTGCAAAGTGCGATTAATCGCTGTACTGGAGAATAAATGGATGCGTGATGCAGCAGTGGATACTTGGATCTGCCCAGCAATTTTCTCAGGAAGGCCAGGCAAACCATTCGCATGCCAGGCGGCGCCTCCGCACTGGCCAAGGTCGCCAAGAGATCCAGCAACTTGTGCTGCAGAAGGTACTCAAGACACGGTCCAGTTTCATTCTCCTCCTTTTCTTCCCCAAGTAAGATCTCTAGCAGTACATCCAAGTGGCGCGGTATACTGGTATTTTGCACAGGGACTTTGCAGTCGGTTAAGTGACTCACATAAAAGTTCATCAACTGCTTCCAGTGATAGGTGAAGTCCTGCAACGGCGTTGCCGGCGGGGCAATCTGTAAACACGATGTGTATCTGACGATTCGCGTCTTGGAATGTGTCTCTTCATTGCTGAGTTAAGGTGCACGGAACAACCTTAAAGTGAGGACGCATTGGGGCGCATTGCGCATTTCTGTTATCGCAGTCACTAACGATTGTTATCACTTACCACGTCAATGGCATTTTTTAAGGCGGCTTGAATGCCGCTGATCATGTTAACTCGTTCACGAAATATACTGCTTTCATTCGCGGCGAACTCGCGAGATAGTCGCTTCGGTCTGCCTCATTGCTCGCTCGCTTGATCGCTTCCAAATTCTACCGGTTCCGTACTGTCTGCTGTGTCGCCCTTCGACTTTGACGCGTCACGTAATACCGAAGTGAAATCAACAACGGGCAAAATTATCAACTGGCGGCGCTGTGTTTGCGCGCGGCAAACTTGCAAATTCTGCCGACTCGCTTCTCTTTAATCATCTTCAATTGTTTCGGATCTCTCTCTCTCTCTCTCTCTCTCTCTCTCTCTCTCTCTCTCTCT